GGCTGAGCCACAACCCCAGCCCTTGCAGCCCTTTTTAAAAATATCTTATTTAGAGACAGGCTGTCACTGAGTTCTTAGTGCCTCACTGAGTTGCTGAGGCTGGCTTTTAACTCGAGGTCCATCTGTCTCAGTCTCTTGAGCCACTGGGATTACAGGCATGTGCCACTGTGTCCAGTGGTAGTTGGGTTTTTGTTTTTTTGTTACCCAGGAGCACTTTACTACTGACCTATATCCCAGTCCTTTTAAAAAAATGTTTTATTTGAGACAGGGTCTCACTAAGTTGCCCAGGCTGAACTGAAACTTGAGATGTGCCTGCCTCAGCCTTCCAAATTACTGGGAGTGCAGGCGTGTGCCATTATACTGATGGTAACTGGGTTTAAACACACAGATCTTGCTATTTGTTTATATTTTTCTTTGGTATTGGGGATTAAACCCTGTGTCTTGATCATGCTGGTCAAGCTCTCACCATTAAATTATATTCCCAATACTTCCGTGCCTCTTTTTAAATTTTATTTTGAAAAAATCCCCCAGTCTGGTTTGAACTTGTGGTCCTCTTGCCTCAGGCTCCTGAGTAGCTTGGTTATAGGTGTGTACCACTGTACCTAGTTAGGACTCTTTATTGTTACTTAATTCCTTTAGGTTTCTCTTGTACACCTTTAATTTATTATGGTCTTCTTTCAAGTGCTATTGTACCATTCTATTTTTGGTATTACCGTAGCATATTTCATTTCTTTCTAGCCTTTGTGCGATTATTAACACCTTTTTTTCTATATTTGTTATAAATCCCCCAGTAGGTGTTGTTTGAACCATTATCCTCCTCCCAGCCACTGCATATTGGAGTATTTTACCACTGAGCTACATCCCAGGCATTTTTCATTTTTATTTATTTGTTTCTGGTACCAGGTTTGAACCCAAGAATGTTTAACCACTGAGCCATGAATCTCCAGCCTTTTTGTAAAATTTTGAAACAGAATCTTGCTAAATTCCTTAGGGCCTTGCTGAGTTGCTAGGACTGACTTGAAACTTGCAGTCCTCCTGCCTCAACCTCTTGAGTCACTGGGGCGACAGGTGCACTACTGCTCTTGACTGAACAATTACCTTTTAGAGAGTTTTAGGAAAAGGAACATTTCTATTAAAAGTTACCCATGTAATTATTATTTTTGATATTCTTTCTATAGATCCAGATATCCATCTGGTGTGTTTTCCTTCTGCTTGAAGGACTTGAGTTTGACATAGTACAAACTGGAAAGGTGTTTATTTCTCCCCTTTTTTTGTGTGTGTATGTGATGCTAGAGATTGAACCCAGGGGTGCTTTGTCACCAGCTTTTTATTTATTTTGAGAAGGTCTCACTAATGTTGCCAAGGCTGACCTTGAATTTGGACTCAAGCTGGACTTGCCATCCGCCTGCCTCAGCCTTCTGAGCTGCTGGGATTATAGGGGTGTGCCACTGTTCCCAGTTTGAACCCAAAGCCTTGTGCATGCGAGGCAGGTGTGCTACCAGCTAGGCTACTTCCCCTGCCTGCTTCTGTTTCTTATGCTTAGGTTCATTAAGCTTATGTCCTTGGATTTATAGTTCTCACCAAATTTGGAAAGTTTTAGCCAATATTTCCTTAATCGTTTTGTTTCTTTGCCCCCATGTATTAGATCATATGAAGTTGCCCGAGTTTACTGATGTTCTTTTCACATTTTTTAATTCTTTTTGCTGTGTTCAGATGGTCATTGCCATTGCTTTTTGCCATTAAATTAAATCTGCATCTCCAACCTGCCATTAATTTATTCAGTGTATTTGTGTATTTTTCACTTCAAAGCAACTCAAATTCAACATGTTTATGTTTTCTATGTCTATACTTACTTAAATTTTGCTAGCTTCTTAAACATGGAAAATTGGCCTAATGCCATGACTAAGTAATTCTATCATTTGTGTAATTTCCATTGCTTTTTTTTTTTTTTCTTTTTGGTAGGTCTGGCTAAAATTAGAAGTATCACTGGATGTATTTTTTACTTTTACTTTCTAGGTTGCTATCAAGTCTGATGTCTTTGGACTTGCACTTAAATTTCCTCTTTTGAAGCTTTTTCAGGTTCTCACTCCTTGGTATTTGAAACCTCCCCATGTTTGGTGTGTGCTTTTTCCATTCAAAGAGCTAGGTGATCACTTTCTGCCTGGAAACTCATGACCTTTTTCAGAATTTTCTTGAATCATTATGTTGCAAGGTCTGTTTTTTCCTCCCTTTGAAAGATTCTAGTTATAGTTAGATGTTGACACTCTAAAATCCTCATGGATTTTC